CCCCAAAACCCCAAAACCCCAAAACCCCAAAACCCCTGCACTTTTCATGAGTTTTGAAATTTCGTTCAGATTTAGTGCAAAATTTTTGATATTCTAAAGAAATTTTCGAAAGTTAGCAAATATAGGGTATAAACTATTAGTGTAACGAAAATAATATATACCAACCCTGCGCCAGATATGGGGTCTCTAGTTGAAAGTAAACATGTATCCTGATTCCTTCTTCTCGGTTACTTCATTTTCCTTCCTTTGGTTAGCAAGGTCAGCCTGGCTTGACGAGACTTCGTCCCTAACTTTATAATCATGGTCAGCAAGTCTGGCTTTTGAGGGAGAATTACTTCTGTGCTTAATTAATTTCAGTAAGAATTGGATATCTTCTTGTGTAGAGGACTTAAAAGTATTGATTTTTTTCATATCTTTCACTCTGCATATCTGATTGTTCTTTCCCAAATTCATGTCTGACTTATCTTCTTTGGATACCTATGTAAACTATTATCATTCTGTAGCTCAAAATTTTAAGACTTCCAAACTTTATGAAGAATTCGAAAGAAGCATCTTATTGCACCAAATAGGTGTAAAAACTATGTATCAATTTTTCCTTAACAATTTTAGGGCCAGCGAAACACTCTGGCAAATTTTCAGAGAGATTCAGCAAAGTATTCAATTTAGAATATAAGCTAAAAGTAGCACTGTAATGTTTGGAAGTTTATGAATAGAGGACATCTCACTTTTATTAAATTATATCACAGTGATTAAGTAGAGCATGCCTAAGTTTAGAAGTATGGCCTAATGCTTAAAATCTTATCATAATTCCCATAAAATTTGAGACCCTTAGACCTTATCAAGCATCATGCTGGTAAGGCTGGCCAGCCTTACCGGCTGTTGCATTGACAATTTTACAGGATATGAAATTTCTTGAGAATTTTGAAAATTGTTCAACAAAAGATTCTAAAGTATGCAACAAAGCCATTGTCGAAAGCTTTCCTTGATATTTTAAGCAGGTACAAATAATAAAAAATTTAGCTGAACGAAAACACCTTGCAAATTTTAGCTAGCATTATTGCCTAACACTCATGAAGCCTAACGGCTGATGGATGCTTGGCTTATTTGGTTTATGCTGCAAGAGAATTTGAAAATAGAATGCATGGTAGAAATTTTATATTATACAGGATTTGGTGATGACACTTTATGATAACCAATGTTATCATTAACTATTAATTATATTTTGTAAAGATATTCCTATTGTTGTTAATTCCCTTCCTCATCGAAGATAAACTCTGAGTATAAAGCTATATAAACTGGATGTACGCTTAGAATAATTGAAACGATAAAATTTGAAAATCCATTATTGTTATCTGTCAAGCCAATTGTATCTTAACTTGAAGTACTAGTACTGATAAAAGAAGACAGCCATAAAAAAACAGAAGACTATAATTAAAAAAATTCAGACGGTTTATAAATCTCTTTAAGCTTGTCAAAATGTCTTGCTAGAACCATAAAATCTAAATCAGCGAAGTCACCCCAGCCTCTTAACATTTTAGATGAATAGGTTCACTATCTGACTTCCCAACACAGATATTATTAGCCAGACTTCCATTCTAGAGGTTTATGTAGTCCCAATATCCCAAAATAAGTTGGCTTGATACAAGAGGCTTGACGCCATCTGGAGCCACGATAACTAATTATCTCAACTGTAGTGTGCTAACTATTTTGGGTATATAAATCTCTGAAAAAGGAATCCTTATTAACATATACAGTAATGACTGTTGATAACAAATGATGGAAGAATTTAAATAGTAGCTAACCGAGGGTATAAGAAGAGGATATCTACATAAAGGAGGTTGATCAGAATGAGAGTTATGCTATTCCTACCTTTCTGCGAAGATGGTCAACCTGAATGTCCTCCAAAAATCTACGTTTGTTGCCTTCTCTGATCTGACCCTTATCTGTTAGAAGTTTATTCTTTGCCTCATGAGGATGCACTATATTTCAAAATGATTAATAACTAAGACATTCGGTAGTCAAAAGGAAGTAGAACTTAGTTTAGCAATTTTCTGAATCTTCGAGTAATATTTCAAAACTGGTTGTTTGCCAAATACAAGATAAGAGTTTTGCCTATCCTTAGATTTGATTGACAAGAGACTAAGACAGGTATCAAAATCTGAAAACTGAATGGAAGGTTTTAGATTTTAGAAAGAAATATTATTGAAATATCTCAGTAAGAGTACCAACAGGTTTTGTAGCAATTTATCTCATAAAGATTCGGATGACCAAAATACCAATCAAGTTTATTCTTCTAAACACAATAAAAATGCGGAAGTTATAAAGTAAGGTTGCTGGAAATTAAGCAGCAGGTAAAATTTTATGCACTCAAATTCGGGTTAATTTCTCTCTAAACTCAACCTTACTTGTTCAATGAAGAGAATTCTCGTTGGAACCTAGTAGCCTAGAAGGAGGCTTCCTCTGAGGTGATTGTATGACAATATCAGATTCGGCAGGAATAGTAAATTCATCTATATCTTGTGCCTTAGAATTCAGCAGATTTCCGTTAGAATTAATTCAGCGTTTCTTCGAAGACTTTGCAGCATCAGCACTCTTAATTAGCTGATCTTTGGTCAAATTCCACATTTTATTAACAATATTTGTATTAATTCTCTCTCTTTTTGCTCTTTTGGGGTTTTGGGGTTTTGGGGTTTTGGGGTTTTGGGG